ACTGTCACGCCTTTTACATGTACCAAAAAAACAAAAACAAAACAACATGGTGTATTTTAAAGCAAATATCAAAAGTTGCTAACAGTGAACACATTTGGATATTTATTTTAGCTTCGGATGCTCAGTCAAACTAACAAAAGCTTCAATGTATAAAATGAAAATATAACTAAGTCAAATATTAAGGTTGAGCCAAAAATTCAGGATTTCACATCAGTGATTACGGAGCCCCCTAGGGGACATGGGGAATTTTTTTTTTCTTTTGCGTTCCCTCGCAAAAGTATTGCGTTACCTCGCAAAATTTTGCTTTCCCACGCAAAACCTTTTGCATGAGAACGCAAAACCTTACTTCTGTAAAGTTAGAAAGATATTCACAGATTCAGACTTCCGGGATCAATAACTCTCGTTGTTGAAACACAAATGGCGCCTCTTTCATGTCCTGATAGAACAGACTACGTATTACAAGAATCAAAAAGTGTTATTTTCGAGAAAAACGAGCCGTTCTCCGAGCTGGATGTATTACATTGATCCATATGCACAGGCAGCAGCTTTGGTGAGGGACCGTCTGCAAATGGTAAAACAACAGAAAAAGGTTGCAAATAAAAATCAATAACTCCACTGCCATAAAGTGCAGAGACTCCAAAATCACCACACACACCAAGGGGCCATTGGTGTTTGCACTACAACAGCTGGTTTGGAAAAAATACACCTTTACTTTTTTTTTTTTTGATTTTTTTGTTATCATTAACCATTAATATCATCCTATTTTAATCAATAGCTCTGTGATTATACAGTGCAGACACTCAAAAATCATCAAACAGACAGAGAGACTCCAGATGATCATACTATAACAGCTGTTTATGAAAAAATACACCTTTTTATAACTCTCACGCAAAAGGTTTTGCGTGGGAACGCAAAACTTTCGCAAAAGGTTTTGCGAGGTAACGCAAAAGTTTGCGAGGTAACGCAATACTTTTGCGAGGGAACGCAAAAGAAAAAAAAATTCCCCATGTCCCCTAGGGCAACATATTCTCATTATCAGTTCGTATGAAATCGTACGAAAAGTTATGCACACTATTTCGTACATTTTGGACGTTTTTCCTCAAAAAACCACATCAGTGCGCATGCGCTGGCAGACAGAAAAAA